TAGAAAGAGCTAGAAATCGAAAGAAACAACTCCATCCTTGCTAAGATGGCGTGACGAAAGTCCGTCTCGTTCCAATGCACATCCTGAGTTAATTGTGTATTTTATTGTCGAGTTATAGTTACTCGTGACACACAAACAGCTAATCCGTTTAATTCACTTTTAGTTTTAATTCAGCTATTAGCTGGAATTTAGAACTAGTAATTTGAGTGTCATCCACGTGCGATGTTGTTTATAATAGTTATCTAAAGAGCCGTATTTCCAATTTTCCGGCCAGAATTCCACCTGCAGTGGATATTTAATGTCGTATGCGTAATTGATAACCGGTCAAGTGGCCTGAAAGTCATCTCACTCAAAGTTATGTCCTGTGAAACGAGTGTCAAGTCGCCCGAAATACTGAGTCATGTCACTCAAATTTCACTTATGTCCAGGATTGACCGCAGTCACAAAAATTTGCTAGCAAATCTGGCCAAAACGATTTAAAGGGAACTGCTGTCAGAACTGTATATAAGAAATAGCAAATACAGCATTTTTTGACGCAATTTTAGCAAAAACATTCTTAATAGAAACTGCTTGCGGTTATCTAAAGAAGTCAGCAAAATCGCAAAAGTAAAGGAAAGAAAGAAAATAGTTTAGTCGTCACTTGTTTTACGTCCTCCACAAATTGAACGAGAACCACGTCGTAGTCGTGCAGTGACAGTAAAGAAATGTATCACAAAAAGTCTACTCTGGGACCTTAACTCGCCGCGAGATTGTGCGAGCTAATACGAGTTTAGGCGAGTTAAGGCGAGATAAAGAAGTTTGAACGTAATCTAAAGCTGCAGAGTAGGCCTAAAAAAGAGCGTGATGTACGATTGCCTTGTGACGTTCTCGTTGCTGTCGCCGTCGTGCCATCTTAAACTCCCTGATTTTCCGACCTCGGCTACTGGACTCTAGCTGCGGAGGTACATGCCTAATAATGGGGACAAACTCATAACACGAAACTCTTGTTTACATCTTGCATCTGACCCATGAAAAGGAACGCTTCGGGCTAGTGATTTTGAGCAGGCTTGGGTACTTAAGACTTAAAACACAAAAAGCGAAGACCCCCCGTCAAAATCACTTGAAAATAACCTTAACAAGATCTTCAGTTATCAATGAATGTGACCAAAAGTCTTCGTTTCCTTCAAAACCCCACCTAAATAGAAAACGAACACCCCTCAAATCCCCTCTCAGTTCAAATCGCGTGATATTTACATGAGATGAGAATATCGACCGAAGCAAAAGCATATTTGATGCGCTCCTGAATGTATATAATCCGCTCTTTTTACTAATTGGACCTCTTACAGTTAAAAAGTTGCCATTGTTTTTGGAAGTGTATGAGCGACTTCTAACTATAAGCACAAACCGGTTAAAAATCGGTCACTAAGTCATTAAGATTAGTGCGTGCATGGTTGGGCACCGGAATGTTTCAATTAACTAACTGATAACGCCGTTTGAGCCTTCTTATAAGTAAATACTCTGGTTAAAAGCGGCGTTAGCTTACAAAAAGGACAAAATTCGCAAATCACGCACACCTTCTTTCCTGTGTGTTTAATTTTTTCCCTCATTCTCTCACCATTCTTGTCGATTTTTCCTTGTTTTTTCCTTTGTTGTTGGGTTTTCCATGCTGCAGTCCTTTGAAAATGCTGTAAACTTGGACGTGGGAAGTCGCCAGTGCAATCAACTCTTTCTGAGATGGACACCTTTAGGACTGGGACAGTCCCTGGGCCTCATTAGGGAGTTTTTGCATCGACAGCGGCAACGGCAACGAAAACGTCACTTTTAAAATGAATTAGCCTTAATTAGCGTTTTTTCAGACTTTGTCGCTCTTATTCCAATTCGCTGAAAATGTCTAAAGTAGGCAAACTTCCCTGGCCTTGATTTCATGGGGACCGCATTCAAGTTTAAAAAGAGGAAGAAAATTTCGTCGTCTCTTGTTTACGTTCTTCACAAAACGTGAAATTAGGTATTTTCACGTCGAAGTCGTGCAGTTACGGCAAAGAAGTGTACAAACAGGCATGATGCACGTGCAAACTAGTTGTCTTGCCCAATAAACTTATTGCTTTTTTTGACGTTCTCCGTGCCGTTTGACGTTCCCGTCGTCGTTGCTAAACCCCCTATTAATGCGCGCGACAGATGCATTTCGGGTCACGTGGTCCGAGCGAGTAACAGCCGTTTGTCTCGGGTACGTCACCGAAATGCATTGAACGAGAAGGCCTGAAAACACACCTTGCAGGCGCTAGGCAAATGCAAACATTTGTTGATCAGCAAATGTTGAAGCGTGTGACAGCGGTTTTAATGCAAAGTTAAAACTGATGAAATCATAGATGGGTGGTTTTGGGTAAGAATGGATAAGTAATGATCTTTTTTATTATTTTATTTCAATACAGTCGCGCCACTATTCGTCTTATTTGATTTTGTAACATGGCGGTCAACCCTTGGTTCAGGCTGCTGTTCTACGGCATGCTCGGATTTTCATACGAAATTATTTTTACTTCGCTGTGGGACTTTGTAGCGTCAGATTTTACCAACTTCAAATTTGTTGGCTACTCTTCTATCTGGTCCTTCTTTATTTATGGAACGTGCAGCTTTTGTGGAGAGCAAGTCTACCTACACACAAGAAAACGCTTATCGACTCTCTTACGAGGTCTTATCTACCTTCAAATGGCGTACACGTGGGAATTTATTGGTGGCCTCATTTTGAATCAATTTTCCGCGCGTACCTGGGACTACACTCACTACAAGTATGACGTAATGGGGTTGATCGCGTTGGAGTATGCGCCCTTATGGTTTTTCAGCGGTCTTCTCCAAGAATATTTCTACGAATATTTGACTCAGTCACTGCAGTTTTCAGCCAATAATAATGTAGAGTCAAAAGAGGGGACACTGAACTTTAAAACCAACAATTGTAACAATAAGGTCGATTGACATGCAATAGACAAAGCTTGCAATCGCCCTAAGGTTTTGACGTAACGAACGGCGTAACTTCTTCAATTGACGTCTTATATGGTAATTTTCAGGGGTGTTAATTTTTCCACGGGTTTCTTCTCTCTTACCACAGTTGTTAATTCCTTTGGAGCTTGCTATCTAATTATTCCCTGGGGCACCATTTTTCTTATATCTCTGTTGTTGATCATGACAGTGTCTTCCTTTTTTTTTCAGAGTTCGTTGTAAGACTGAGTGTCCACACTGACTTGTTTGTCGGAATCCTCCTTTTTCGTTTTAACAAAAATAGATATCGATTTCTCCGTCTTGTGTCGTTTATGACCTTCCATACAAAGCTATCGAAAACACATATTAGGCAATACGTTTTCGTTCCAAAGTACTATATTCTTGTCTTTTCCCGTCACTTTTGAGCTTGTAGCAGGTCATGATAACGTTCGCCTTCTTTTGCCGGTCCATTCTTACCCGGTGGACCTTCGTTTTCCAGTCCCCACTTTCGAGACTGTTTTCAAAAACCTTCGTTGTCGTGGAAGGCCTTCTCTGTTTTATCGCGGTTTTATAGCCATAAGGCCAAAACCATTAAAATGTACGCGTTCCCAAACCAAAACGTATCAGTGTGGTGGGGTCTTACACCAGCAAGGTTTTTCCATAATTTTGTCATTACTCTATTTTGATTGCGGTTATTGGGAACTTCACTCAGGCCAATATTTCGAGTAGTTTGTGTGAATGTGTTAAAGGAATTTTGCAGTTAATTTTCCGTATTTTTGTCATTACTCTAGAAGCATTTTCTCAACAACTTTCTGACCCTTTCTGTAGGTGTTTTGCCAATCAGAACTGACCATTTATG